GCAAAAATGGTGCCTTGGTTCGTGCTTTTTTGCCGCGCCCTCCGTGCTCACTGTTAGTGCAGGAGCTGGCAGATGCTCCCAGTAAACATTCCATCCTCTCAAAAAACATCTCCGATTGTTTCTTTTTCGTTTCCTTGCCCAGGCCAGCCTTGGCCAGGCCAGCCACCAGAAGCAGCAGGATAGCCAGGATAGCGACCAGAAGAAGCAAAACAGCCTTTGAGAGGCACCGCAGGCTCAGCAAAAGGAGAGGAGAGGAAAGGAAAGGAAAAGGAAAAGGAAAAGAGAAAGGAGAGGAGAGGATGGGAAAGGAAAAGGAAAATGAACCAGAGAGGAGAGGAAAGGAACAGGGAAATGAAAAGGAAAAGGACAAGGAAAAGGAAAAAGGACAAGGACAAGGAAAAGGAAAAGGAAAAGGAAAAAGAGTGGAGAGGAAAGGAAGGAAAAGGAAAAGGAAAAGGAAAAGGAAAAGGAACAGGAAAAGGAAAAGGAAAAGGAGAGGAGAGGAGAGGAAAGGAAAAGGAGAGGAGATGAAAGGAAAAGGAAAAGGAGAGGAAAGGAAAAAGAAAAGGAGAGGAGAGGAAACAAACAGGCGATTTGCGGCAAATCAATTGGTCAATTGTCAATTGCTTTTCCCTAGGCGCGCGCAACTTTTGAATTAATATTGGACCTCCTTCAAGTTTGGAGAAGCCCCTGAAACCACTCAAGACGTCATTGTGTGGCCTACCGTTCTCAGGTTGGTGTTGCAGGAGAAAGAAGGCCTGGTGAAATTGACGTCGTTGGGAGGCGTGCGCATCTACACAAAAGAGACCTATCACCAACAGTATGGCAGGGACATCCTTCACAGCTCCTTCTGGCCAGCAGCTTCAGGTGTTCAAGGCCGGTGCAGAGTTTCCACAGCAGACCTTAGGTGTCCAAAATGAGAATGGTGCAGATTGCCCAGCCAGCAAAATGAGGACGCCTTCAATGATTAATTGTTTCTTGTTTGGCAGGTCTTCCATGGACTGAAAGATGCTTGGGAGCAGAAGGTGGAAGAGGTGAATAGGTGCCTGTTCCAGCGGGTGCTGGACTCAGGAGCTGTGTCGCTACCTGCCTGCAGTCACAGCGCCAAGTCATCTTCATTCTTAGTTGTGAGGGTTGCAAACCAGTGATAAGGAGGCAGACTTTTGTTGCGTCACTTCCTCCAGTCAGTCTTCTCATTGTTTGTGAAAGTTTCTCTTTCGTTTTTGGTAAATAGAAAAAGGAACCATGTTTCAATTCACAGATAACAGATAAAACATAGATATAATTCACGAATTTCTGCTTCCAGGCTGACGAAAGACCAGCAAACCTCACTGTTTGTGTCTCGTGACAAGCTGGTCACGAGCGCATGGGAAACCACCAATTTGGCAAAGGCCCCCCTGGAGAAACTAGACCGCTCCTCAGACGCAGACAACTTCCTGGCTGGATTAGAAGTATTCTGATGCTAGCTAGCGCCACTCGAATGTTGTCTTAAGCTGTGGAGTGTTTGTCCCGACGAGGCTTGTGTGGGATCCCTGGAGGACTTCCAGGGTGCGTGTGCTGCTCTGGATAGATTGCCAATTGACAATTGGCTGGAGTCAGTGTGGCCAGGTCAAGGCCTTGAGCACCAAGCTGCAGAAAGTGAAGGTATACGCGTCAAGTGTGCACGGCCTCAACCTCCTGTTCCACCGCTTTTTGCCAACAGGAACCGGGTGGAGCGCTCGGCATTGTGCCGGCATCAAAGGGACCCAGCCAGCGATTCTCTGGCAACTATGTTTTCAGCGCGCGCGCGCGCAAGCAGAGTCAACGTTTCGTGGAGATTGCGAGTTGCGCTGTGGTTCTTTTGCGTGGTCCATGTGAACGCATTCACGTTCTTTTCTTTTTCTGAGGTATCGCAAGACGCTTGAGCGCAACGGCGTCACAGTTTCAAAAGCACTGTTGCAGTGGCTGGAGGCAGCCACTGCGTGAGCACAGTGGACTGAGGTGGTGCTGTGGCAACCTGCAGCCCTTCTTGGAAAAATAGGTCAAAGTAAAAGAACCTGTGTTGTTGTTGGGCAGGGGATCTTCAGTTGGCTGCAGCCTGCCACGTGTGCTCCCTGCTTCTCTCAAAGCGTTTTTTTTGCAGTTGTGGGAAGTGCGTCTTTGCAATTTCCAATTGCCGAGTGTCAGATCTGCTAAGTCCAGCTCTACCGGCCCGTGTGACTACTTGTCTTTCAGCTAAATTTCCTCAATGTTGTGAAAGAAGTGTTGATGATGACAGTTTTGGGGCTTCCAGCCAGTCCCAACACAACCTCTAGTCAACCAATGTTTTGTTTGGCAGTGGCTGGCTCAGATTTGACAGACCAAAAAGGTCTAGGGATCTAACCCAAGCGAGGGAACGCAAGGTTGTAACATGTAAGTAAGACTGTAAGAACAACCAAGAACAAAAGACAGCATGTATGTTCTTTCATCATGAGTTCAACAAAGTAATCGTCTGTGTTCAACCACTCTTTGAAGCCCTCGCCTTGGAAAGCCCAAACACGCAGCACCAATTGTTGGCAGAAAAAGGTTTCGTGTGCGTTTGTTTTTTTTGTAAAAGTTGTGCCAGAACTCTTGCACCTTGGGACAAGTGTAGGGTAATTCTTGACCAACCTGACTCCTGGCAGGCCGTGACTTTATGGACAGCTTTGCTTAGCCAGGGCTAAAAAGAATCGCGTCCCTTGGTTGGGTGGGAGTGTTTTTTGACGTTTTTCACCGTGCAAAAATGGTGCTCTGGTTTGTGCTCACTGTTACAGCTATTAGGCAACATCTATCTATACATACAAAAATCGCGGATTATTTATTTTTGATATAGCACAGAGTCGGCCCGGTGCAGACAGTGGAGTTGCTTGGGAGGGGCGCGTTTTGGTGAATGCGTGGTTTGGCTCATCGTGGAGAACATCTGGGGCTAACTGTCACCCCCCCAATAGCGTGTATGGGACAGGGCCCGCCAACAGGTTCCCTGAGAATTACGTGCCGGAAATTATCGGAAATTCCATGACTCCCAACACACGGCTGGTTTCCAGTCTTGATGTAATTCAATGCAGCTGCCTTCCCTTCCCTTCCAGACTTCGGTCGAAACGGCATTCACCTGCCAAAACATTTGCTGAACTCCCCCCCCCTCGCAGTGTGGAGAGTCAAAACCTTCCGATGGACCCATGTCCTGCGCCTGAATACTTCTGCACCAGGGCGCGAAGCCGCTCCAAGTGCGCCTGGCGCCGGAGAACTTCACGGCGCAGGGCAGCGTGTGGCCCGGGGCCCTGCCCAGTTCGGAGAGTCAAGGGACCCGGCGCTGGGAGGGACGGCAGCAGCGGCTTCTGGGACGGCGCAAGCGTTGAACGGAGGATGTCAGATGGGCCAAACTCAGTTTTTGGGGATGTCAGGCTCCCAGTGTAGGTGTGGAGAACTGGTCCCCACCCCACTGGGTGGTTCATGGCAGATCCACCAATGCACCTGGCCGGCTGGTGGTTTTGGAGCTGTTACAGTGCCCACTATGCGGGTGAAGCGGCCTCAGGTGTTACTTGATGGAGGACTCCTTCATTCAATGCCGGGGTGTGGTCATCGGCACCTGTCCGAAGACCCATGACCCCGAGAACGGCAGGCGCCGTTTGTGCTGCTTTTGTGGGCCACCTTGCAGGTGTTTCAGGTGATAATCATATCGTGGCAGTGTGATGGGGTTTGGAAGGTTCTTGTTGTATTTTTTTGCGTCTCTCTCTCTCTCTATATACACACGCAAAAGTATATAGTTTAGTTCGGCATATTTTCAGAGGCTACTTTTCTCATCTTGATGTCCATTCTGAACGACCATAGCCAAGAATGGCTATGAATGGACAAGACTAGACGCTGCGTGCCAGGAATATCCGGATTTGCCGGCTGCCGGTCGAGGCATGGACCTGCTTGGTTTTCTGCTCGGTGGAAAGGCTTTTCACGGTCGCGGATCTTGAAGGAGCGTTGCCTTCTGGCCCAATTCCCACATCCAATTATCGCTTTTGGTGGCGTTTTGAGAGGACCCATGGCACATGGCGGCCCGTTGTTCGTAGTGAAGCCCCATTGTCAAGAACATCGAGGGTCCGTGCCATCGAACCTCTGAAACCGTAGTGTTTGATGTTTCTGGATGTTTTTCACGCTTGCGGTCTTAGACCTCTGAAAGCTCTGAAAGAAAGGATGTTCCTGGATACCTTGAAACCTGGCTTTTAGGCTCCTGATTGGACTGCGGGAGATCATGCTCTACGATCAGCCCTCCAAGCTCACATACAGGACGATGTTGGACCCGCTGCCCGGTCCCAGGCACGGCCCCGCCGGGGTCTCCAGTTCGCGGCGCTGTCGCGGGAGGCCTACGATGTGGGAGGCGCGGCCGTTCGCGGCGGTCGCTGCGTCGGGGCAGAGGTGGACAGGTCGGGGGGGGGGAAGACACTGTGACAGATGAAGAGGTGGGTACACTCCCGGAAACTAACATGGAGGTGGAGAATGGCCCCTTGGGAAGACCATGAAATCCACTACAAACAGGTGGTTGCCCCACTTCCATGTGAGTTTTCAGGAGTGTCGATGCGACTGATTTCACTTCCTGGTCCTGCCCGCTTCCCCAAAGATTTAGAACCTTGAGGGCCAACTCATCCGATATGACCTCCACCCACCGTTCTCCACGGTTCTTTCAGGGCCCCTAATAGGCCTTAGAGAGAGGTCTTGCCATGCTTTTTTCGTGGGAAACCGGTGTTCCGACCCCCGCCGTCGCCTCCGCGGTCGCCTCCGCCGGGACCCGTCGCGTGCGAAGGCCACGTGACCTACACCTCGAGCCGGGTGACCCTGACGGTGACGCCCGACGGGTGGATCTGCGGGCATTCCACCCGGGAGATGCAGGGCGCCATCGTGGCTCGGCGGGAAGGGAATGGACAAAGGAGGTGTGTTTGGTTTTTTCTGGGTGTTTCCTTTTTTTCTTCCAGGAGTCAGATGGAGTTGGGTGGTGTTGGGTTGAGAAGTCAGTGGATGTGACAGGGGCACCCCTAAGCTCCATTAAGCACCCATTTGGAACTCCTGATTGTTTGATCTCTTTTCGGATGGGTTCCTTTCGGTGGGAGACGCTTTCGTGGATGAGAAGGAGAATCGGTGCAGAATGATGTAGAGTCTACATACCCCTACCCTAACCTTCCAAGACTTTCGAAAGGTTGACCTGTTGTTGCAGTGTAAATCCCGTACAACAATGGTTTCTCGGTCCAAAAGCCATGAAATCAATTGTTTGCAACCTACGAACTGCGACCGGCGGCGGGCAGTGGAGCCCAGGATCTGTCGGCCGTGCGCTTCTGCAAGACGGGGGGCCTCTCCTTAACGGACGAGGTGCGGGTCGCTTTGGTTCGGCGGTGGACACTGCGGTGGACTCGGGCGGTGGAACTGGGGGATTGGGGCGGGGTGGAAGACGTGCATCCGTTTATTTACTTTTCTCCTCCGGCGCCGCGAGGGGTGTGATGTTTGGAAGATGGAGGTAGGCATGACACAGGGGCTTGACTCAGGATGCTCGAAGGACCCATTCGTGCCCTGGCCCGTTGGTGACACTTCTGGGGTGTAGCTGAGCTTAGCTCATTGAACCATCGAACCTGGCCCATGAAGATGTTTGGGCGGGTGGAGTGTCGTCCAAGCTGGGCTGCCGTGTGAGGTCACGCTCCACACCGTGGATGTGGGCGGTTCCAGATTGGTTTGCCTGCAGGGCCACCTCCACGAGTGCTTCTTTGTGGCTCGGCATGCCAAATCGACCATCGATGGAAGCTGTGTTCGTTCGTCTTCGGCTTCGTTCCCTTCCTGCGTTTTTTTCGCCCCGCCTCTGGTTGCACTCTGACTCATTCATATCGAAGTGGACAATGGCCACTGCAAAGACCTGCAAAGATGATTTTACTTCACAAGCGGGTGGTTTTCCACTTCTGTTAGTGAGCCAGGTAGTTGATAAGCGCCACTCTTGGCACCAGGAACGAACGAACTCCTTTTCGCCCGGCATCGGGTGTGTTTTCTTGTTGAAAGGCCAACACATTCAAGAGTCTACAATTAGGTTGGCTGGGCCAACGAGTAACTAAAGCCCTATACAAAGTTATTCTGCCGAAAGCTTGGGGAACTTCCTCCATGAATCCCTATCGTGCCTCCAATGACGCTGAAGCCATCCAAGATCTCCTCAACAAAGAACACCAAAACCCACCACCCCTCCCCCCAAAAAGAAGGCCACCTTTCACAAAAGCTCTCCCTTCCGAAGCCGCCCCTCATCCCTTTTCCTCAGAGTTCATTTCTCCTCCCTTCTCTTCAGGTCCTGACCCGACCTCGCTCTCGCCGCGAGCTTCCGCCCCCGCCCCGCCCCACCCGCCCCACTCGCTCCGCCGAAGCCGCCCACGCCGCTTCCGCCGCGGAGAGGCGTCCGACTCCAAGCGCCCGGTGGCCATGCTGCCCGAGTCCTGCCGGCCGCAGGAGGTGCTGAGCTTCGCGCCTCGGTGATGACGAACCCGGACGCCAGGGAACGGGGCGACGGGCAGGGAGCGTGCGTGGTGCGTGGTGCGTGGTGCGGTGCCCGTGGAAGGTGGGTTCTGCGTCGCGGTGTGGGGGTTTGGGCTGGGAAGGAAGGAGGATTCACCAAGAATGGGGGTGGGATTGGGTCTTTGCCTCCAATTGTGAGGTCGCTGGTTTTCAGCCTCTTTGGCGGGAAAGCATGGGGGAGGGGGGGTATGCAGGTCATACTTCCGGAACGCAGAAATCAGATCATGAGACCTCGCCACAAACCAGATTCCCTTCAGTCGCTCCTGTTTTGGACCTGAATCACTTCGGCTGAATCGAATTCGAATACCTTTTTCTCCACCTTGGAACCATTTTTGCCCACCCCCCGGTCCCCGGCACTTTGACCCCAGGTCACCGCCGGCAGTGGTCCAGGTGCCTTCCACTTGGTGCAGTTGCGGCCCATTCGAGGTGAGACCGCTCCGTTGGGGCGGCATCGCGTCGACGCGAACGGAGCGTTCGGACCGCGAAGCGTGTGCTCGGGGCTCCTGGCCGTACGGCCAAAGGTGTTTTAGTAGCTATGTTTGTTCTAAGTCGCACCTGGAAGACAATAATGAGAAGGACACCTTCACAGATACTCGAACATATATATATATATATATACTACCGGGATATGAGATAGGAGTTGTGAAAGTATGGTGGGAAAAAATCCTATGTCATCACGCACTAGCCTATACGCCACAACTCCTATCTCATCAGGTCAAAACATACAAAAATGAGCCTGGCACGCACAATTATGTTCACACACATAAATGTTTGAGATTGCATGGTTTGAGGAGGTTTTTGACATTAAACCACGCATGACCTAGGAGTATTGCACCAATATAGTGTGTGGCAACTAGGAGATGAGATAGGAACGCGTTGGTGCAAATTCCAGGGTGCCTACTTCCTATGTCATCTTGACCAAAGTTCGAAAGATGCACGCATCACTTCAGAATATTGAATTTTATCGACGGCCCCATGGCCTCATGGCAAAAAACAATATATCTATTTGAGAAGAGGAACTTCGGTGGCAAGAAGCCACATGACATAGGTCAGGCGGTGGGAAAGACTTAGGGAGCGCGTCTAAGTCATGAAACTTACAGCAGTCATATTTTCCCTATGGGAACGGTATTTATAAATATGTTTTTTTTGAAGTCGTGTGCTGGCAGATTGTCCACAACTCCTATGTCATCCTGCTGTGTACTACACTTGGCAACCTTGTCTGCTGACTGATGACTTGGACGTTGTGGCCCCGAACTCCTATCTCATTAGCCCAGCAAATTCCCATGTCATCAGCCCTGAGTATATATATATATAAATTATTCCACGGGTCATCTGACCTACTGGAATACTTTTTGGAATAACATTTCTGGAAAAATATTTTAGCCAGGTAGTGGTTCAAGCTACTACCTATAAATTTGGAATAATTTTTGGAATAATATTCCAAGATGTACACACATGTACATACATGAGAGAGATACCAGAAGAACCCAGAGGTACGTACATACATGTACAATCTGGAATTGTCCACAGTCCTGGCTCTGCGCTTTGTAACTGCTCAGGGAAGCCTGTATGCAGCCCAGGGTGCTTAGGGGCTCAATTTGCCCATGGGTCCTTCAGATGTGGAGGCCCCCCTGGAATAATTATGTGCCACTGGCTGGGTCCTGCACCACTTGCCATTGCCACTGGAATTGTCCACAGACCTGGCTCTGTTACATTCCCACCGATCCCCCTAAGCTCTCACTAGGAGGGGAACCTATACTTGGACCTTGAACGCAAAATTAATTCAACCACGTGGTTTTGCATCCTGAACGTGAATGACATACCAGAATATTTTCCAGCATCGATGTGACTAGGGGTCAGAATAATCTATAAATTATTCCAGGGGGGCCTTGAAAGGGGGTCCCCTTAAGCCACGGCCTATAAATATAAATATATATATATATATCTTGATGGCCCAGTTTTGCGCAGCAGAAGACAACGAATGAATCCGGTTTGTCCAAAGCAACCCACTTGGATTTGGAGCCGTCTGTTTCTTCTCCAGCCTGATGCGTCCAATTCCATGCTCCGAATTCTGGTCATTCCAACGCTGTCGCTCCCGTTGGGACCACGGGACAGCGTGTGAACGAATCCCCGGTCGGAAAGGCCCCGCCTGTCCTCGCCAGGCTCCGGGATCGGTGGAGACCTGATGTGGAAGGATGGCGTGTGGAGCCATGACCAGGTACATCTCACTGGCATCATGCTGCGCGGCGAAAGAATGCGAAAGAGGGGTCCAGGGTGTAGACATGTTGGAGAGAGAGGAGCAGAGGAGCTGCGAGAGAGAGAGAGAGAGAGGAGACGGGCGGTGACTTGCTGGAGTAATACCGGAAGAGGCGCGCCCCCACATGTATCAATGAATTGGTTTAAGGGAAAAACTGCAGGGAAAAGGGGCTTTCCTGGTCGATTTTTCCCTGCAACCAATTCTGTGAATGTTCCAGTCTCGGGTCTCTGAAACTCCGCCGGCCGGTGTCACGCCGCCGGTGTCGCTGGCGTCCGTCCGTCACCTCCAAGGTATGAGGTGAACCCCGACGCGCTGCAGTTCTCCTTCCTGGATGCCTCTTGGACCCCGGCTGGGGACCTCAGACGGTGGACCCAAGCCGGGCGCAGTTCTCAGCATCTGCCGTCCTCGCACTCCCCCACACGGGTGACATGAGTCCGGGCGGATGGCCTGCCTGGGGATTCCGGCGAGTATGTGGTAGGCAGGTAGATGTCCCATGGAAACATGGTGTATGGTATACCTACTGTATGGCATATATCATTACAAGAGGGATTGCCAAATTGCCGTGTAAACATTGTGATGCGCTTTCCAAGTGCCCCCCCCCCAGGCGCTGCTCACGCACACCCTCTCCCGCGAAGCCCGCGGGGGCCCAGGAGATCTTGAGGATTTTCGTGGCCGAGTTCCAGAAGTTCCTGATTTCCAAGTGCCCCGGTCAGCGAAGACACCAGAGAGAGAGAGAAGCCTTCGTGCCCCTGCATGGTCATTCGTGCTCCAAAAACCCTCATTCTGGGGCCTCACCGCCTTCGTTCTCCAAACACCCTCCCCCCACATGGAGATGTTTCTGTTCTCATTGAGCTTACCGTAGGACACCGGCCTTCTCAATCAAACCTGCCGTTTTCCCCAACGACGCGCGCGCCCCTCGCCGCCGAAGCTTCAGGTTCGGCGGCATCGAGGAGGCTTGGGACGAGGCCTTCGACCTCACGGGCGAGGGCGTGGTGAACTTCACCCAGCCGCTGGGACGAACCGGCCGGAGACCGGACCCGCGGGCTGCGCGCTGCACGCGCAGGCCGAACCAAAAAGAAGGGCGACCGCGCTGAAGAAGGGAGGTCGGAGTGGGAACTTGGAATAAAAGGGAAGGTTGGAAGTTCTGTTTTCATTTTTTCCATGTTTTGGTTTGCTGGTGATGAAACTGAGGACCAGGCCTTACTTCAGGTTTTGAAGTGAATCGTCCGGTGCAGCTCAGTGGATGTTTAGGCTCACGTCCTCCGCCACGTCCGATCGGACTCCCGATGCGCTGTCGAGGTTTGGAGCTCGATGGGCACCCCCTTTTTGGGACATGGTGATTCCAGCGGGAACATGGTGTGTCTTCATGATTCTTCCATGTTTGTTGGTTAGAGATGGTTAAGGCACTCCCATCCAGATCCTCAGACGATGAATTGGTGCGTTTGCAGTCTTAATTCCAAGGTTCAGCATGGGCTGCAAGAAGGCAGGCTATGTGGGAAACGCCACCCGCCTGTGGGCTGCCTTGTGCGAGGTGCACCCCCGTTTTTTTTCGGCCGCTGGAGAGAGTGGATGGGGTGCTCTTGGTTTGCCTTCGTTGCAATATCCTAGACCAGATCCTTGCAGCAATGAACATATTACATCTGTAACAGAAAACATGCTGTTAATCTTTTTTTCTTCGTCCCTTTGAGCGGGTATATAGTTAATCTTCAAATAGTTATCATATATATTTATTGATGGCTTTTGTTCTGTTAGGTGGCTTCGGACTTTTTTGCATTTGAGGTGTTACTTTTGTCGATTTTGACGTTGGCTGCTCTACCCTGTGCTGCTTGCAGCCAGTCTCGTAGCCGCTGCCCTGCTAAGGCTGTGTTACCTTTTTTCCTCTTGACATTCTTTCATTCATTAACATCATTTTCCAGTTCGTTGCTTAACATCCTGTCATTTCCTTGTCATTTCCGTCCGTTTAACCGTTCGACACCTTTTCAGATTTCTGAAGCCGTCATTTTCCGTTCCAGTCCTTTCCCCCCCAAAACAGGCAGCTCAACCCAACAAGCATTATTTTTTTAGCTTCGTCCGGGGCCCGGATCTCCATCTGTTTCCTTTTTTTCCGAGACGGGGACGCTCTCCGGTCCGATCCCCGTCCAGGACGGTGGGGGAGAGATCAAGCTAGAGGAACTCGCCAGGCCGCAGGGGCCGCGGGGACCGCGGGGACCGCGTCTGCGGAGCGGCGTCCGCGACCGCGGAGCGGTCCGAGGCTCCTGAAATGGAGCGTCCCGGGGTCGATCTGAAGGAAAGTCAATGTCAACATGTCGGCATGGCCGTGACAGATTGATTCCTGGCACAACTCAGTTCAGACACGGGATAAATGGAGGGCCCCCTGGAAGCAGATTTGAGTCCAGTGCATTTTTGTGGCACTGTTTGCCACTACGATGTGCCCTCGCCATCCGCCCAACAACTCCCTGAAGTGGTTGACTGGCGCCCTACCTGACCCAGCAAATTCGCGTTGACGGTCGTCCACTGCGTAGGGACTATCTGAACCCGCCTGCGGAACCGCAGCCCGAGAGTGGCTTGGGCGACGACGACGGCCGGCGGTGGCCGCGCGGGGTGGGGGGGTTGACCCGCAGGATGCTTTGCAAGTGCATTACTAATAGTGACAAGAAGCTACTAGTAGCGATGCACCTGGCTACTAGTAAAGTAGCTTCTTGTTGCTAATAGTAATGCACTTGTTATTAGTAGCTTCTAGCTACCAGTAGTAGTATATAAGGCCCTTGTTACTGTAGGTCGCTTCTGCAAGATCTGAAGCTAGGTCAAGACAGCGATCATCCTCCTCAGTTTGCTGCCGATTTCCATGCTAAAGCTCAAGTCAGTGGAGAGACTGGAATTGCCTAAAGATCAGGGCTGAGACCAACATCATTGGAAACACTTGGTGTTCAGATTCTCTTCAACGCAGAGGTAGCCACCCATGTGGTCCGTGTATGGCGGACGATGGAGTGCAGATCTGGCACTCGTGGACCCTCCACTGGTAGGTTGACCGACGAGTGAGGTCGTCTATTGTAGACTCTTGATTCTTAACACCCCCATGAAGAAGAGGTTTTGCCATCCAAATGCGAGGGTCTAGTAATCAAGAGTCTCATTACCCAGACACTCCATGTATGGTATATTTACATGCATTGGGGTGGTTTTGGGGGGTCAATGGGGCGGCAGTCCTATGGCAGTCCCAGACGGGTCGTGTTTGGGTTATTCTGTTCCTTTCCTCCCTGGGAACACCCGGTTTTCCTGGTGCTTTGGACCCACCGAACCGGCATGGTGGCACCGAACCCCCACCTTCAAGGCAAGGCCCGGACCACCATCCTATGCGATCGACGGGGCCGGATTGGTTGCCTTTTTATACTCCCAATCTGGGGATGTCTCCAAAAGGATCTTGGAGGATGAGATGCAGATCTGCAAGGAGTACACCAGATCGTGAACACTTGTCACCAGCCGAGTATCGCCTTCCATACTATGGATTTCAATGCCCTTGGTTCTGTGCTCAAATTTGGCACGCACCCTCCGGACCACGCCAAGAAGGTTGAAACACGCAGGTTGCAACTACGCCAAGAAGACCTTTTTGTCCACATGCCTGTAGATCCTGTGCCGGGCCAACCGGGCATCTCAAGGGCCAACCGGGAAGATGCGTCCTAGGCGAGGTGACTCGGCGACCGTCGCTGGCGGCCATGCTCTCGGGCCTGGAGGAGTTGCGCGGAGCCGCAGGGATGGACGATCGGTGAAAGAGGGCAAAACCACAGATGTGCATGATGTGGCGGATCAGGTGATTTGATATCACTCTGGTTCAACATCCCTCCCGGTGAATATGACTTGTTCTTTCCAGGCTTGGCTCGTGAGGACCAAGACCGTCCTTCCTTGGGGGGGGCCGCGGGCGAAACGCTCCACGAAGACGAGGAAAGCCGCCCGAAAAAGCGATCTGGATCGGCTCCGCTGCCTTTGCAACGGATGCCTTTGCCAAGGGGTTCCAACATGGTTCCAGGGGGCTTCAAGCGAGAAAAGACCAACAACCACCACCACAACAACAACAACAACAGCAACAACACCAGCAACAACACCAACAACACCAACACACCGACAACACCAACAACACCAACAACACCAACACACACACACACACACACACACACACTTCGACAATTGTATTCAGTTATCTCGATTCCCACGATGGGA